TATGACTATAGTTGTAGTAAGGTTATTCAGGTTGCCTACTTCAAGTGCAAGGAAATTTTTTTTTCTGCGGAATAGTTATTTTCCTAACAAGTGCGCAAAGTGTTACTTTTCCACACGCAAACACAGTTATACGAACGACGCGAAGCGGAGTTCGGATAAGTGTTTGCGTGCGGAAAAGACACTTTGCGCACGTGTTAGGAACAAAATTTATCCTACGAGCTTCATATCAGGTAGGTAACAACAAAAATTAAAAAAAAAAAAACGATAATTTGTTCAAATATTTTCAATTAACTTGAAGCGAACCTATTCATTCATCAAAAAATTACATAAAAAAAAAGAACAGAAAATTAAAATCCTCGTCAGAGCTGTTCATCTTAAAGCGTTTAAATTTGATGCGAAAGAAGTTTGTAGATTCTTGCATGTAAATGGAGAACACAAATCTGACAATGTGTCAAAGTTAATTATATTCAGTGTTTATATAGATGTTGGCTGATATAAGCCGCTTTCCAGCTGACGCTTTTGAGCACGCAATCGAGCTTTTGCGCGCGCAAATGCTTCAAGCGCATGTTCGTGTTCCAGCCGTACTGTACTGCGCTTCAAGAGCTACTAACTTTTGCGTTTCAAACACAGAACACTGTGCTGCACTGTGCTTGAAGCACACAGCTGGAAAGCGGCTATAGAAACAGAGGAAAAATTTGTCATCATGTGTCAAAGTCGACAGGTGCACTGTCAAAAAAAAAAAATATTATAAATTATTACAAATTATTCATTGGTGAACGGCAGACTCGTGCGGAAAAATTCATTTTCCACACTTGTTAGGTAATTAGCTATTTTAGCATGGTATTTGTTTTCAAAATTATTAACGGCCCAATCAACTGTCCTCTTTTTTTATGCCAAATTAGTCTGAATGTTCCTTATTGATTTAATTTTTTTTTTGTCTTGTAGCAGTCCGCCTATTAATTAGTTAGATGGTAAATGGTGTGGGTGTTTATTTCCTTGGGTGGCAACAAATAAAATTGTGGATGAGGTCTATTTGGGTGTCCACTTAGTGCGATATCAGACGATATCTCCTTACAGGGTGATGCAAGAGAAAAAAAATTAATTACAAAGCTGTTAGATACTCTTAGGTGCATCAGTTAAAAATATTTTTGAATATACAGGGTGCTCCGTGAATGTGGTACGCGACAAAACTTTGTTATTTCAAATAGAACACCCTATATTCTATTTCTTAAATGGATCGTCCTGAAAATCCTACATACTTTTTGTTAAGAATTATCTATACCAAAACTCAACCGATTTTGAAATATTTGATTTTTTTTTTTAAAAATCGCAGTTTGCATCAGGGACACTTTATCCGTCAGGACAATTAGGTCATGTCCTACGGGCCACTAGAGAATGAAGGCCAACTGCTGGCCTTTAATTTACAATATAAAATATAAAAGTCCACTATACTAAAAACATCGACTTGTTTAATAGCAGGACTAGCATATATTTCAATACAATTTAATTCTTATAATTCACACTGCACAAGCACATTTGGTTTGGCCAGAGTGGACTGCCTGACGTCACGATGCTCTGGAATCGCTCCGCTCGCTCCATCAAGCAATCCGGAACACGCCCTAGAGTCACCGAGCTGCGCTGAATCGCCTTCGCGTCATTAGCGCAGCACACGAGCACGTGGCAACTGGAAACGACTACAGCAGAAAACTGTAAAGGAGTCATTCCAATCCGAGCGGCCGCGACAAGCGACCGAGACCGAACGACTTTGCGACCTTGGTCTCATGTCGCGAGGCGACAAATAGCTTACGAGTACACACGACTCCGGCTCGAGACCGGACCAACGACCCAGCAGGGCCCCAAAATACTGCTGCATTCTGCATTGGTGTGAACTTGCAGAAACCACGTCAAACACCAAAATGAGAAAACATTTAAGAAAACGTTTATTGGAAGACGAAGCAGAAGAGGATATAGTTCTGTTGACGTTGTCGCCAGGAAAAGGACAAAAAATTGATCCAAACCTACACATCAAAATCATATGAGGGATGCATCCAACTGTTTATCTTAAAAAAAAAAGACATTTGAAGTATAAAGATGAAACATCGGATGGAAAGTTCAGGAAGTATTGTAGACTAAACAGTCATAAACAGTTCAATTTTGTACTGAGTTCAGTAAATGATACTAGATCTACTAACAATTTGTCCTCCTAGGCAGAAAACTTTGCCATTTTAAGAAGTTTTATCTATTCTAGGTCTGTCTAGTCTCGCAGCACCACTGCTTCTAGAGCAGACCGGTCGCGCGATCGTTGTCGCAAGCTAGGCCCGCCTACCGGTCGCGTGTCGCTTGCATCGGTCTGTACTGCCTACAAATCTATCAAAGCAGTCCGTTGCGGTCGCACGTCGCGATCGCTCGGTCTCGGTCGCTTGTCGCGGTCTCTTGGATCGGAATGCTACCTTTAGTGTTTGCGCTGCTTTGCCAAATTGTAATTTCTTCGAGCTTCTTCTGGAGCATCCAGGGACTTGAGCAGTGTCTTAAGGGTCCAGTGCACCACGAAGTCGTGCCTTGTTGTTGTTGAGCTTGTAGGACATGCACAGGCAACGTGGTACGAATTTTCCTCAGTGTTGCAACCCTTTATGCATTTTTTCCTCGCTAATCCCAAGCCATGCAGCTATTCTTCCCAAGCACCCATCAGTACACTTAGTCCCCAGCATCCATATGTGGTGATTGGTAGGCTGGAAGCTCAATGCCATCATTTTCTTTTAGGACTTTCCGACCATATAGCATGTTTTGTGACCATTCTTGTTCCACCATTTTATAGTACCTTTCTTTGATTTTACCGAATACTATACTTGGCAACATTTTTTGTCTTCATATTTTGCCAGCTTAGTAGTTTGAAATCGTCTGAATGATTTTATTAAACCCTATAAAAAAGAACAATCACTCATGAAAGGCCATACTAAATAATTGACCTACGGGCCAGAGAAGGGTTAAAGCGTCACTGGTTTGCATGTGTCTACAAAAACCAACATATTTCATTCATTCGAGATCCTTATGAGTTAAATCTTATTGCAGGTTGTTAGTGCATACTTACATTTACTTTATGGTCTTATGAAAATCTGATAACATTCTACGGCTTATATTATACTAGTCTAGATTTTTCTACGTGTACATACATATACTTACAATTTTTCCATAATTTTACTAAATTATTCTAATAAAATTTCTCAAATTTTCCAGGGGCAAGATTCGATTTAAGCGCGAATTTAATTTGATGTCTGGGCGTTAGAAAAAAAATATTCACGAATTTTATCTGATGACCGTTTACTTTTCGACTTTCGACTCTAGACTATCTCGGACTGATCCGGATTGATGACTGCTTTTTGTTCTATCTACCTAATTGTTTAAATAGCTTTTGGTCCTACCATGAATTCGCGTCATTACGATACCTTGACCCAAAATCCGCTCCCGCTATTTCTAAGAAATATTATTAGTTTAGACGGACCACATGCCAAGGCGAGACTGCCTCATAACAGACCGTTCGACGTCAGCTTCCCAAGCAGTTAATAATACCAAGCAGAACTGAGCAGAACTGAACAGAACCGAATGGAACAGGGCATACCGGAGACCAAAAAGCAGGATCGGACCTCATGGTAGACAGACTTCGGCTGGTACCGCGGTAGGGTTACGGAATAAGACTATACCAAACCTTATCAACAAAAGTAATTCAAATTAAAATTTTTGGTTGATCAAACAACGGATATGTCGTGGCAATATCCATCTCTTGTTTCCAGTACGATGTTCTAATACAAACTCTCCTCTTTGATGAACTCATGGGCGAAAGCGAACTTTGTTGAAAGCTGGTCGAAAAACAAGATTTTTCGCAGACAGTGTAGTTTGGCCCGCCAGCTATAGCAATTACTATGAACTGGGGGGAGCATGCTTCTCTTTTTCAGGCAGATGTCTATGCTATACTCCAGTGCGCAGCAGAGAAAAACAGGAGAGCAGAGTAGCCAACAGGCAGTTCCTTATTATGTCTCACAGTCAAGCAGCACTGAATGCCTATTTCGAGCTAGATAGTGTCATCAAGAAAACTAATATAGGAATGCCAGGAAGAACTGGCGGACCAAAATAAGGTAAAACTTTAAAGGACTATTCACACAGATCAGTTCCGTCTCAGTGCCGTGTCAGTTCAGTATCAGTGGCAGTGAAAAATAAAATATCGTTGCCTAGTCTCAAATGAACCTGGTTCAGACAAGTCCGGCGCAGTGACGTTTTTTACCATCAGTGCTGCGTCAGTGTCAGTTTCGTGTTTTTAATTAAAGTCGGCAACGATATTTTGTGTATTTCACTGACGAAAATCGATTGGAATTTGCATTTGAATTTTTGAATATGGATGAAAAACTAATCGAGTTGGTACGGAATTATACAGAAATGTATGAAATATATTATTCTGTTGTTCTTGGGTATATGTGGACCAATGAAACCAAGTGGTTTTGTTTTTTTAGCTACGTTTCGAAAAATTTATTTTCTCCCTCAGGCTTCAAAGCCTCCAAAACAAGGTCAATATCAATGAAATTAACAACATTATGTTCCAATTTTCGTGTTCCATACACTGATGCCTATTGTATATCATTGTTATCATAAATTGAACTTTCTTCCGAATTTATTGGTCTAAGCACAATACGCCACCTCAGGCTTCAGTGCTACATGGGGACAATAAGTCGGACAGGCTTGTGAGAGAGAGAAAAAAAAAGTAGATTCAGGTATGTAAATGTTGTTAACACTACTTCTCAACTTAATTTGTATCCTGAATGTTATTTAACTTGCCAGACGTAAGTTTATTTTATCCGCAGTAATTTACACCTTTGTTTTGTATTTTTTTACTAGGATAAACCATAGGCACGAGATCCTATTTTCAGAATAGTGTTTCTGTGGTATTATAAATAAACTGAAAAAATCATTCCGAGTCCGGAATCGAGATAACCAAACCGCACATACGCTACAAAACTCTAACACTTCGGTAATTTAACGACGAGATAAATACTGAAAAAACCACAAAACACCAGCTTGAATTTAAAATAATTACCAGTTAATTATTGTTTTTATAATGAAGACAACGGTTGTATTTTTAATGATAACTTTGTCAGGAGTTTCTTGTGATTTAGAGTTCAAATATCATAACAATCAAGAGTTGAGGGAAGTTTTACACAAATTTAATAATACCGTCAAAATGCCGTTAAGGGCTAATGTTTATTCGATAGGAAAGACCCTTGATGGTAAGAATATATTTTACCTAATTCTATGTTTTATGTTTGTATTGCAAGAAGAAAAATCTATTTTTACATGTGAAGGTTTATTTTTCTAAAAAGCGTAATGTAGTTTCCCAATGAAATTCACCTTGCGCGATTAGAGATTTTCCAAACTTTACATTATTTTTTGCAGAAAATGATTTATGGGTAGCTGAAATAACTGCCGTTGAAGAAGGCACTTTGAAAGTACCCAATGTCAAACTAATTGGCAATATTCATGGTAACGAGGTTGTTGGAAGAGAAGTCTTGCTACAATTTCTTTATGTAAACTACCCATGAACTTAAAAAATATACTGTCCTTATTTAATATATTTCCAGTATTTGAAAAACGAATACCAAAAAGGTAACACGACCATAATGACCCTACTGAACACAACAAGAATCCATTTTTTGCCATCAATGAATCCAGATGGTTTCAATAGATCCGAAGAAAACTGTCATTCTGACGTGGGGCGAGTCAATGGGAGAGGCCAAGTGGATCTTAACAGAAGTTTTCCTGGTGAGCTTCATCCAGCTTTTATCCTCTGTGAACTAAAGCCTTAAAATTTTAGATTTATTCCATAAAAATCCTATTAAGCAACAACGTGAAACGAATGCTATAATTAAATGGATGAAATCGGTACCTTTTATACTCTCCGCATCACTACATGGTGGTGCGTTGGTTGCGAATTACCCATATGATACAATGAGGGAAAAAAGTATGTAAAACGCATTTAGCAATATCCAATTGCTCAACTATTTCATTTGTAGGTTCCAATTACCACAATGATCGTTATTCGTCGCTTTCCCCAGATAATGACGTATTTGTTCACTTAAGTAAAACTTATGCCAACAGTCACCCGACAATGTTTTTAGGGAAATCTTGCGACAGTTATGATTTAAATTTCGAAGGCGGTATTACTAATGGAGCTTCATGGTATACCTTTGAGGGTAAGTTGGGGAAATTAATCCACTATTGGACATTGGCGTAACTATTATAGTTTATTATCTATTCACAATCCGATGTCCAAAGGTAAAGGTAAAATTTATCACCTTTCAGTGCTATTTGATAGGGAAAGGTGATAAATTTACCTTTGTTCTTTGTGCGTTTTTTTTTTTTTTGGTTGCTGCGTTCTTAGTACCTACAGCATAGGAGTGATATTTCATTCAGATATCAAAGAGTCTCACGCCTTTGGCAGCATCTTTTTATAAAATTAAGCATATGCGTAGGAATCAGAATTCTCCGTTCTTGGGAATTCCTAGGCTGTTGCACGCATATGCTTGATTTCATACAAAGATGCCACCTTCTATGCTATTCGGATTGATTTCGTCCTATTCACAATCCGTAGTCCATTTGATAGGGAAAGGTGATAAATTTACCTTTACCTTTCGATAACGGATTGTGAATAGGGCGAAGTCAATCCGAATAGCATAGAAACCGTGTAGGTGGCATCTTCGTATGAAATCAAGCATATGCGTGCAACAGCCTAGGAATTCCCAAGAACGGAGAATTCTGATTCCTACGCATATGCTTAATTTTATAAGAAGGTGCCACCAAAGGCCTGAGTCTCTTTGATACCTGAATCAAATATCCCTCCTATGCTGTAGGTACTAAGAACGCAGCAACCAAAAAAAAAACGGACCTAGGCTTCTCCTTTAAAGAAACAACACCAGCAAAAGGCCAGAATAAGGGTGAACCACGTTGAAATTATAGTGTACAAGCATGTGGGATTCCAGTAAAATTCCATAGATCATAAACTCCAGAACGACTCATGAATTAATTGCTGCGGAACACATCAGACAGAAGGTCAAAAAAGAATAAAACTCAACTCATGAAATGTACTTCTAACTCATCAAAATTTAATTAATTACCAGTAGAATTCCATTGGCACTTCGTAGAGTTCCAGTAGAATTATGTGGGATTTCAGTAGGATTCCGTAGAATTCCAGTAAGATATCGTGGTATTCTGGTGTACACATTTTTCAATGTGGTTTACCACTCGGTTCAGAAGGCACAGCCTAAAAAAAAAAGCACAGCCAAGAATTCTATGGTCCAGGACCGCAACTAGGGGGTGGCGAACTAGGTGCGAGCCTAGGGCGCCAAAGTACTGGGGCGCCTTCTCACCACCAAATAAAATTATAATACAACCCAAAAAAGTCAAATTACAGTCGGTAGAATTGTTTCCTATTACCAGCTCTCGTGAAAGATTTTCTAAATTGAGAGCCGGTGATAATGAAATATTGATCACCCCGTATAAACCTCTACAAAGTGGTGGAATTGTTTTCGATTACCATCTTTCGTGAAAGATTTTCCACAAGAGGCGAAAATAATAAAATATTATATACTATATAATAATATATGTAGATATCACTATCACTCTATATCTATTTATTTATTTATTTATAGGTTATAGCTTGCTTATAGCTAACAATTTTACATTATAACAACCAAATATTAATATTGTGATCATAAATAAGCAAATCGAACAAAAAATAAATAATAAAAAGAACAGTCAATAATTAAGCCTATATAATATTTATTTACAATATTTAAATGCATTTGTTTTTGAAACTTTTCATTGATTCGGAGTAACTATTCATTACTGTGTTTATATAGAAGTCATCCCTGGCACGAGTGTGATAACTATGTACAGGGTGTCCCACTAAGGTCGACCAGATATGATATTATGGATATTATGGAAACCATAGACCTTACCTAACTTGAAAACGAATGCAGATATTGAATTGCGGTCTGCGCCAAAATGAAGATATTTTTTTGCTCTTTAAGCACAGCAATGAAAAAATAATCATTTGGTTTTTTCAAGAAAATTAGAAAAAACTGGATCTTGGTTAAACAGCGCCTTCTAGAAGACGCGGAGGGAACTATCGACCCCGAACGAAGTGGTGTACCTACTTAATAACAATGAAATTCTCTTTCAAGTAAGCCCAAATTGAATGAGTTTGGATAAGGTGTATGGAAGATAAAGCAATTTTTAAAACTATCGATCAATTATTTCGAAGACTCTAGTCCAAGAAAACTACTGCAATAATTTTGTCCTTGTTTAATGCACTCTTCCAGACCATCACCACAGTCTGCAAAGCAGTCTCACAGGAGTTGCTTTTGCGAAACCCTGCCTAGTACTCACTAAGAAGATTCTTTTTTCGAAATGGTCTATAAATTGCTCATTTACTACTCTCCATCAACTTTTCATTATGAAGGTAGGTACCATATTTATGGGTCAAAATTCTTCACATTTTTCTGTGTTTGCTTTTTTTTCTATGGGAACAACCTGTTGTTTTTTTCCAACATTTGGGAAACACTCCATATCTGGCAAGGCTGACATCAACTATACCCTAAAATCCATCGCCTATGACCTCAAATGCCTTTGCTAAGATGTTTGTTGTCACTCCATCTACACTGCTATTCTTCTTCTTAAGATTTTCCACTATAGTTCTTAGTTTAGCTAATGAGACCAATTTGAATTCTGAGAAATTTACTTTTGAATATTCAATGTTTCCTATTACTGCCGCAATATCTTCTTTATAATTTAGTAAGTTATTGATTCGATACTTTGTATAAAATATTCATTGAACCTTTGTTCTATTACATTCTGGTCTCTATCGAGTCTACCATCAAAACTTATTGCCGCTCTTCTTGTCTTGTTATTTCCTCCCACCAATTGTTCAATAGTTTTCCACATTTCCGTTGAATCATGTTTATTCATTTCAATTTTTCTGTTGTAGTAATATTTCTTCTATTATCTTATATCAACCACTTTGTTTTTTTTTCATTAAAGCCATCTTCGTTTTTTGTAATTATTGCTCGTCGATTCATTTGATTTCTTTGTTTTATATGTGAATCTATTTCTGGTGTCCACCATTTTTCATCCGCCCACTTGTATTTCATGACTTTTTCCTTTATCGGAGCGTGTCTGTCAATCAAAACATTGACGAGGTTGTCAGCAAGCATATCAATGGCTACGTTCACCAGAACCAAAACAGATTGTAAACAGTTTACAAATACCAACAGAATATTTTGGGTAAACTCTTGGTTCTGCTGAACGATTCAACTTTTCAATGATAGAACGTCACCTTCTGAATGACAGGTCACCACACAAAACACAGTATTGAAAATTATAAACACTCTGAAATTATGCTTGCAAAAATGGCGACCGTTTGCAAAACATGTTTGGTTTTAACACAAATTCAACGTAGCATTCAGCAGAACAATCGCAAACCGTTTACCAACGCTTGTATCTGGTGAACGCGGCCAATGTCTGTACAATCCCTGCTCCATGGAGTTTTCATCAAATCCAATAGACCTATCTATTTTTACCTGGTATGCGCGCGCAACACGAGGCGATGCATTTTTATTGGTACAGGTGTGAGGTGTTCGTTTTGCACGCTAAGCATCTCCTTGTCCTTGTTAATTTCCCGTGGTCTGACAAAGATAAAAGTACGGTTGATATTGAACTTGACATAGATTGACAAGTGACATCCAGAAGTTGTTTGAAATTTTCATTGACAAATACGTTGCACAACACGCGGTCTTTCTCCTTTCCTTTTTATCCTGTGCAGATAAGAAGGATGGATTGCTAGGACGTAAGTCTAACATAATTTGGTAGATTTAGCCTCGTCTTGCGCAATGAGCATTCTGTGTCTTTTTTTATCTAATGAAGTTTTCGTATTAATACCTCTTTGTCTGGTAAAATAGATAGGTCTATTGAAAGTTTAGTTCATAATAGTATATTGTGTATTTAGGTGGAAAAGTGACAGAATGTGCTTTTCTACCGAAATACACATACTATTTTTTCTGCGATCGGTTAAATACCTGTTAAATGTTTGTCTTTTAGTTCCAATTATTCAGCAATACGAGAATCACTTTCCCGGCCTAGGCCGGAAAAGTGTTTCCCGTATTGTTATTCATTGATTCCTTAGCAACTATTGAAACATAATTGAAATACCAGAATATTGAGTTTTGCGACCTGTCAACCGGTCAAAAATGCTGACATTTCTTGTCAATCGCAGAAAAAAATTATTGTAGTCTCTTGAAACCTTTATTGAATCACTATTTTCAATATTAAATACACCGTTATAATGGAGGGATCTGTAATTTTCGGAGTCAGATGCACAGATGGTATTAATTGCTTATTACTTGTTATCATCAGATAAATAATTAAATTTTCAAAGAAAAACACCAAGTCTTCTTTTTCTTTGAAAATTAAATTTCAACTCCACTTTGAGTCATGGACTACTTCTTTAATTTAAGATCAATAATTGTTGATGTCCGACACCTGTCGAGTTACCAAACTCGGGACCTAAAAAATTTTAAAAATGTAAAATCACGTAGCTACGCACCACGAGCCACACAAAACCGTCGTTTTTAAAATTTGTAGCCCACACACTTCAGATTTGTTGACATATCGAACATATCCGACGGACATAATCAGGCGAAGCCAGATATTTGCATCCGGTTTTGTATGCCAGCAAAAATGACAATTTTTCGCACACACACTTCGGTTTTGCGTTGTTTTTGCTCGACCAGATTTGCTCGTCGAACAAATCCGTCCCACAAAAACGCAGTCTGTGGGGCCCTTAAACATTGGAACATTTTGATGTAGGCCATTTTCACTAATTATCTTCTTGAGTTTTTTAGCATAGAGCATAGAAGCTATTTTTTGATATATCTATATTATAATCTCCTACACATACGAAAGTTCCTTCTTTCGATGAGTATTCTTCCAATATTTCTCCCAGGTAAGTCAAGAAATCAGCATCAATCGCGGCAGGCGAATGATACAAACTAAAAACCAGAATTTCTTTCTCTGTACAAATACTTCTACTCCTTAATAGTTTGTGTTGCAAGCTCTCTTTCAGGTAAATACTTGCTCCTCCCTCCAGTGTGTCTTCTGTGTGATACTACATTTATCATATTGTATCCATTTATCTCTG